GCACGCACGCATGCACGCACATGCACGCACGCACGTGGACAGGCACGCACGCGCACACACGCGCACACACACAAACACACATACACACAACACCAGATATGACCCATGAAAAGACCTTAGGGCAACTCAGCGTCACAGGATGTCAGCAACTGGGTTGAGGGTCAGCTGGTCTCTGCCAATATTTTGTGCAAGCTGCCAGAGGTCTGCAAGGGGGGGCCATGCAAGGGGGGTCATTGCCATCAGTCTGCGGCACAGTAAAACCATTCAGGACCTACTGGGCAAACTCAGAACATTTTCAGGACTGCTGGGCCAAGATTGGTTGCCACCAGCTCACAGGATCATCCTGTGAGGATGGTCTAGGTGTGCACGTTCCGACAAGCAGTGCACAGCCGGAGCTCGGGGCGCGAGGCTTATTTATCATCAAGACAATGTGCAACGGACTTCACACCTACAGCGATTTGGGACTCACCCGGTCAACAAACAAACACAGCCGCTGTTTCCCGCGACAAACTTTTGAACACCTCGGCGCCTGTCCCATTAAACATGTTATATGGATAGATTAAGTTACAACATACTATTGTCTCTCGAGCACCCCGCTGACGACCGAGCTAGATCGTGAGAGACAGACAACATTAAAGCTCTAGGATCCACTCTGTAAGGCGTAGACTGATACCAAAGCAATCATGCAGCTGCAAGGGCGCCCCGCAGTGACTGATTGGCAGCGAGGCGGCATGCTGCCATCTGCGCGCCCATCAGCAATGATCAAGAGGAGGCCGCTGCGGATGCCGCGCTACAAAAATAACGATTCAATAGATGAGCAGCAGCTTCTGATCCCGCTGGACCCCACCGAGGTACGCCGCCGCTTGCAGCTGGACGGCGCGTCAACCGAAGCCGGCCCGCACCCGGCCACGCCACCTCACCCCTCCGCCCCCGCCCCCCGCCCCGCCGCAGCTGCTCGGCCTGGTGGGCAAGGACTCCTACCACCTATGCGACATCATCAACGTGTACGAGGACCTGCGCGCTGACGCGCCGACGGAGGGCTTCTCGGACGACGTCCTGCGGGGCCGCCTGGAGGTGCTTGAGCTGGTCAAAGACGAGGCCGTGTACCAAGGCGGCCGCGTGGCGCTGGCCGACAAGGGCGGCACGGCGGTCC